GTCGCTATGACGCTGCCATGGCAGCCGCTTGTTGGGTCTGGCACACAGCGCGGAAAGCACCACAACTGTAACGGCGTTCACTTCGATGAAACATCCTGCAAGCCTTCAATCGTAACCACACACTCAACATACTAGGCTCTGTCGTCATTCGCTCAGTTCTGAAGATTTGAGCCGCGCCGAGACGAGGTTTCTTTACGACGCACTCTTCTCTGGGCGCCGGCAAGATCGATGAGTTTCCGCAAAGCATCGTTGTCGGAGCCCAGTCATCCTCGAAACCATCTGTGCCTGAAGCCATCTCTTATGTTCATCTCCCGGCTTATGAGGGCGCTTGCACTCGACTTGTAGCTAAGAGGATTCTTCGTGACTATCCATCCATCAATGCGATAATTCGATCCGCGGATGACAGCAGACCACCCCACTCGCTGCAAGTGTTGACATGGATGCGAAGGCAAACAGATCAACGAATCAAGAAAGCAGATGGTCTCTCAGATGTTAAGGGCCTTCTGCGCCTCAGATTACAGTACAGGGTCGGACTTTGTCCTCTTTGGTCGACCTGCCTGGTATTTTCCACTCGTCGTCCGCGACGCCAGCAAGTGAGGGCATGTTGACCGCTGGACCTCGTGGAAAGCTCCATGCGAAAGTCGAACAGCATCTTTCTGGCTGTCATCGCTACCAACGATCTGCTAGCTGATCAATTTGATATGACGAAGGCAAAGGAGCAAGACCCGACGAAGATCCGAACGCTTGGTGTGATAACAAAGCCAGACGTGTTCCTCGAGGTTCCTTTCAGCGAGGTGGAGTGTCCGAACCTTATCACTTTCTTCAACGACAAGAGACTGCTCACATGCGGGCTATTGGCCGGCAAATCCTCTGCAACCGCGCAGCATTTGAGGATGATCTCGGGCTCAGTGGAGGGTGAATCTCCCGCGTAAAAAGCCTGGTCCTCATTCGTCATCGCCAGCCGTGGAACAATCGCTATTCTGACTAAGCCGGGTCACGCTCTCCTCAGAGAGAAAAGCCTACCTTCGATTCTCGAAGACATCCAGAACGGCCGTGAAGGCATCAAATCCAGCGTGGCCGGGCCTTACCCCACTAGTGTACAATCATGACCATTTGTTGCTTCGTTTTCTGCATTTATGACCAGCGTTTCTGAGGTCAAGAAATGCAATGTGCTTCAAAAACTCCAAATATGGCGGTCGCTGCCTGATCTAGACTAAATTGTGGAGCTATCACGATGAGTTATAGTGCGCATTGGCAGAGAGGTATTGAGGTGGATGTGGATGCACATCGCTTTCTAAGAGATGGCACTATGTGGAGCACCGGAAACATCCAGTACGCTCCCCTAAAGGGAAAGCGA